ATTTTAATAATATTTTATGTTATTTCTTCTGAACACAAGATATATTATGCCAAGGACATTTCTCTCTATCATCCAAGAGTTAGGAAGTTTTAAACAGCTTTGAGGGCCTAATGGAGTGGTGAAGGGCAATTTCAGGGAAAATTTAATTAGTGTGCTGTATTGAGCCTCTGAGTCTATGCCTGAGTTCAGTTTCTGTTCCTAAGACTTGATTTCCCAAGCCAATGCAGTGCTTTTGTGCATCTTGTATAATCCTTAATCTTAATGTTTGTGCATTATCTTGCTTCAGACACCATATTGGTTGTGGACCAAAGTAGCAATGTGGCTTTCATCTTCACTTTCATCTTTCGACATCAGCTTGCCACTGTTTTGATAGTTTCTCTTTGTTTCACCTAATTATTAATTTTAATTAATTATTTTCAGACACAAGGATCATGTTATTCCTTTAAAAAAAAATCACATTCAACTAATCAGTTATTGCTGTGTCCTTCACGATTAGGTTTCCATGCCTGCAGTATTTTCATGAATAGTTATGGGCCATGGTTCAGATGAGAGGGGTTCAGTAATGAGAGCAATAAGCTGGAAACACACATATTCGATCATGCCGTCTTCTTAGCACTCTGCAAACAAAAATGACTACCTTCAGCATGTTCAAGCATCTTACTTAAGAAAAATAGATTGTAATAACATAAAAAATAACAATTAGTGTCAATATTCATTGAAAGCATCAGTAAATCCACCAGTGATTGCTTGAACACAGAATCCATGTTCCTCACCTCACTGCTTTGAAAACTGAATGTTAGTTTTGCTGAAGCAGGGAAACAAAGTAGTTATGGCCATTTATCTTAATAATAACCTCAATAATTCACATTAATGTAGAAATAGTGCTGCTGAGAAAAGCAAATCTAGATTTGAATCTAAACTAGTACATATGCAGGAGCATTTGGTGTGATTTCTGTTTGTCTGCTCGCTCGATTGTTTGTATAATTGTGCAATTCATTACAGGAGCTATGACCGTAAATCAAAAAAACTATAACAGTGAAAAAGTCTGCAGTGTAGCTAAAATGGCAAAAAGCACAGTTTAAATCATTCTGAATATTTTAATTGGGGTAATGTTCGTCTTCAGTAATTTCTTGCTTAGTTTCTGAAGCAATTTGCAGTAAAACTAAATAAGACTTTTCCCAAGAGAATTAGCTGAGTGCATTAGCAAAGAGCCAAAGTAAACCTGCTTATTTATAGCAACAACAAAAAAATAATAATAATAATTCTGTATGAAATTGAAATTTTGCAGATTTTGTTATTTAGGCTTGCTGACAACATACCAATTGTATTAATCTTCCTTGTCTTGTCAGAACCCATGGTGGTTTGGTAATTTTTTTTTGAGTTGTAAAGTACAGCCTATTTTAAAGTACATTTTAAATCACATTCTTTTAATAATATTTTGTATTGCTTTAAAGAAGTACACTTATTTTGATAACATTTATTTTAAAAACTTTTTAAATGTACTAAACTGCAACTTCATCTTTACAACAGTAATTGCATTTTAACCATATTTTGAAGACAACAGAATTCTGAAATTACAAATAAAAATGTACTTAAGTCCTACTTAAGTGGGTCAGGCAATACACTCTAATGTTCCGATAATTGTATAATTAATATAAATTAATACCATAATAAAACTCTTTCTGGAAATGAAGCTCTTTCTGATTCTGATTCATAATACATTTTCATTTAATTTGAATTACAATTTTTCTCGATTGATAACACACAATTCATGAAACAATTCACCATTTTCTCACAACTATGAACACAATCTCAAAACTACCCACAAACTTGTGCAAACTTCAAACTTCCAGGTCAAAATCAAACATTTTAGTCAAAAACATGTTCTCTTTCGTCAGACTCAAACTTTGGTCTCAGATGATATACAAACTTATCAAATACACAGACTATTTTCCTGCCTACAGAACACTAGTGAGATCAATTCAAAACACTGTTACAAAAACCTCCTTTTAGGAAACAAGAATCCTTTTGCTAGTCAATGTCTGTTACAGTATATGACATAAATATAGGGGTGTAGATACAGTAAAATTCATCAATAAGCTGTAAGAAACGTTTACTTTTGTTACACTACTGTAAAGAGATCTTACAGTAGATGAAAAGCACCACAAGAGTCCAAAGACCAAAGTCCAAAGACCAAACAACTGAATATACAGTAAACAGACATTGGAATAAAAAATGCATTCATTCATTCATTCATACATTCATTCAGCATCCTCTGCCAAATTGCATTACAGTATTGGTAGTATCCTTATTACAGTTTTTCTGAATTGCTAAAACACATTTCTTGAAACCATCACTCATTTTCTCAAAACCTTACAGTTTTTCTCGATTGCTAACGCACTATAACTGATTTGTTTGGCACAATTTTCCAAACCATTCATACAGTTCCTAAAACAAAGACATGTTTCTCAAAACTTTAAACACATTTCACCTGTTTTCACACAATTTCACAAAAGAATCACAATTTAAACTCAAACAGCACAATGTATCCATGTGTGAACATTAAGTAGCAAAACTGATGACACAGCAGTCAGAATCTCAGGATGATATGAACAAGAGCACAGCTGATTATGTGATTTGGAAAATGAATCCTACTAGTGGGAGACAAAGAGGAAGATGACGGGAAAATAAAACTGAATGGGACGGGGTCAAAGGACATTTATTCCTGATGAAATACACAGCTCTGTAGTTGATCATGTTCTTGTGCATGAGGACAGCTGGCCAACATGCTCACTTACAGGCTTTCAATACTACTTGCAGATAAAATATAATGACAGAACAGTAGCAGTACTTCAGATGAGAGAACTTTTACTTTTTATATATATGTATAGTAAATCAGCACCTCACACTAACTCCTCACATGTGCAAGCACTCATTGCTTTACTTAACACCAACCAATCATGGCTTTAGAAAAGGCCTATAAATAGGCCAAAGGTCAAGTTATAGGTTTTGAACAATGGATGCAAACAATGCAGACAGAGTAAGGGGAGTTGGAGGGAGAGCCAGAGGACGAGGCAGAGTTCGAGTTAGAGGAGGAGGAGTTCAAAGAGGAGCAAGAGGAGGAGTTAGAACCTTCGACATGACTTTGTGGAGGTATGCATACAACACTTTCTCCAATATATCAGACTTGCACCTACCAAGTCAAGCTATTGGGTTGTGCATATACTGATCTACATGTTATTTAGTCTTTTACAGAGAATTTTGGAGATGGATGCCCATGCTATCATCCATGAATACATTTATGTGGATGAGGTGGGCTTCAATCTTAGCAAAACCAGAAGAAGGGGGAGAAATGTCATTGGACAAAGGGTCTTTGTCAATGTCCCTGGACAACGTGGCGGAAACATTACAATGTGTGCTGCAATTACACAGAATGGTGTCCTGCACCATCATGCCAGACTTGGCCCCTATAACACTGATCACATCATACGTTTTCTGGATGCTGTTCATGATATGCTTGTTCAAGGTCTGCAGAATGAAGACCAGGCAAGATTTGTCATCTGGGATAATGTCAGCTTTCATCGCGCCCATCAGGTCCAAAACTGGTTTGTTACTCATCCCCATTTTTCTGTTGTCTACCTGCCTCCATATTCACCATTTCTAAACCCTATAGAGGAATTTTTCTCCACATGGCGCTGAAAAGTGTATGATCGTCATCCCTATGTCAACATGACCCTTCTCCAGGCAATGGAGGAGGCATGTGGAGACATTGATGCCGCCTCCATCCAAGGTTGGATACGCCATACAAGGAGGTTCTTTCCACGGTGTCTGGCAAGAGAGAACATAGCATGTGACGTGGATTAAGTGTTGTGGCCGGACCCAGCCCGGAGGAGGGATTGAGCCTAGATGCACCCAACCATCACACACACACACACACACACACACACAATTCCACTTTCGTGTTTACTGTGAATTTTTCAGAATCTCTCTGACAATTACTTTCGATCTTGTACAGAAATGTCCATAGGAGCTCATGAAAGAGCTTTAGGTTTTGAATTACTGTGTGTATGACATATCCAAAAATATATTATGGCAAAAGTGTTTGCAACGTAAGACAGATGTTTGCCTTTGAGATGTGTTTGTGATCTTTTGAATGCAGTGTGTCATTTTGCAAGATGTGAGGCATTTTGCATTTTGTGTGTGCAGTTCTTGGATTTGTGTGTTAAGTTTTGAAAAAAAGAGGTAAAGTTTAGAAAATGTGTGTAAGCAGTTGAAAAAAAAACTGTAAGTGAATGAGAATGTGTTTAGAGTTTTGCAAAAAGAGTGCATGAGATTTGCAAATAGAGCCTAACTGCCTGAACGTGTTTAAGGTTTAGCAGAAAGAGTGCTTTATTCGACAAATTGGTTTAAGCTAGTGAGAATTTGGTTCAGAGATTGGAATTTAGTATTTTAGCAATTCAGAAAAACTGTACTGTAGTTATAGTAGTTTCTTAGTCTTCTGACAAAATACTTTTCTGCCTCCCCTAGACAGTCGTCTCTCAGTTCTGCAAAAAAAGAGCACATGTAAGGACTACTTGGCTACAAATCAATTCAACAGTATTGAGTTTGAGGGTGTACAACATGTGCTAAAGTGTTTACTGTACATAGAATAATCCATCCATCCATCCATCCATCTCCCATTACCAGGATTCATTTTCCAAAACACATAATCACCCGTGCTCTTGTTCATATCATCCTGAGATTCTGGCCTGTGTGTCATCTAAAAGTTTTGAGAAACGTGTCTTTGTTTCGAGAACTGTATGAATTGTTTGGAAAACTGGGCCAAACTTCTACCAAAGTCATTTTCTGGTAAGATATCTGTACTTTTACTTGAGTATGGATTTCAGGTACTTTATACACCACTGTTAGTTTCAATATACTTATAGTTTAAATAGTTTGTAATGTTCCAGGCTAGTACCTCTTTAATCCCTAAATGTTGCAGATTGTTCCCTTACCTACACAGAGGTACTCTACACTATTATTATGAACAGGTTTGCTGTAAATTCGGTTTACTTACACTGTAAATTGGGGTCTGTAATCTAAAGCATTACCGTATATTATTTTAAAGGATATTATTTCTGCATTAAGTACTCTTTTCACAAGGGGATTTTTATTCTTTTTTTTTTTTTTAGGAACTTTGGGAAAGGAAAAAAAGACAGATATTATCACAACTGAAGACACTGTAAAACAATGATTTGCTAGTCAGAGGCAGGTGGTGTTTATAAAATAGGGGGAAGGACATTCTCACTCGAGAATGAGCAGTACAAGATATCATCAATATTTTTCATTCATTTTCCTAGAAGAGAAAGCCTGTAAATTATAAATGCACACAGTATATGAACTAAGACAATGGATGTGTCCTGAATGACAAGCATAGTCGCAAATGGAATGGATCCGACAGTCAACAAAAGCGACACTGACATTGCACTGAAAAGCAATCAATGCAATTTTCAATTACTCCACAGTTATATTTGTGTGCATTTGGCCCCAGTCTCTCAGGGTTTGTCCATCACCGTTAGCCTTGAGTCAGCTAGAGAACAGTGGAATGCTGAGCAATCTCATTCAATACTGGCAGCAGGGCCTGGGTGAATTGCATGCTGGACCTGGGAGGATAGAAAGAAGCTGTTTCTGCACATTCACTCTCATTTTCTAAACATACAAACTTTTCCAGTAGCACCTCATTTTATGATGAAACTTTGAAATTCAGTTTTAGGATGCAGAGCTACTTTAAAAATAAACAACCAGTGTGAAATCAGGTAAACTGGGTCAGTCAATTCACTTCCAAAGGCCACCCATAGTCTATTTATGGACCATCTGATGCATAACACTAACAAAAATGGAAAGCACTTTCTTAATTTAGTAAGCTCTAATCTGGTTGGCTGTATAAAATGTTAGAATGAGCTGCAGTGAGGCCCAGCCTTCATGCTCTTTTAGTGAAAGGTCTGGCTACATGCGACTACAATTCACCCTATATTGCATGTGGCAGGATGGTAAATTGTGGTGGTAGCAAAAATTGGTAAATTGTGATGGTAAAAAACAACTTTGCATTATTAATCAGTGTTTATATTGCCTGAGTACACATCAAACTGAAGCTCCAGCAGAGCTTATATCATTAGTGATCATCTTTTTCAAGTATTTACATATGCTTTTAGTGTCTGTCTCTAGCATTACATGTATTAAATTTATAAGCCAGTGTTCTTGACAGGGAAAGAGTAAGGGGTGCGCACCCGGGTTCATTTGACATCAGAGTTAGGTTCATTTGGATAATGTGAATGCTGTTTTCTGAACTTGGGTGAGCAACAGTGAACCATACCCGAGTCCGCCTCAGCAGGGTGATCTGGGGTTTGGATTCATGCGAACTCCAGTACAGTTCGCTTCTGATGTAACCGCAAGCATACTAAATTGAAAGTGAAACACTGTTTGCTAATCAATGTTTATATGTGAATAAAAGCCTATAATTAAATCATATCAAGTATATCAGGGTCATCATATAAAATGATCATGTCTCTTCAGAAGACTTGGATTAAACCACTCAATTCACATAGATTTATTTTACAATCTCTTTATGAAAATTTTGAAGCATTGGTTTTGGGTGAATAGACTTTCAGTGGAGGGACAGAAATCTCTCAGATGTTATTAAAAATATTTTCATTTGTGTTTTGAAGATGAACAAAAGTCTTCTGATTTTCGAAACAACATGAGGGTGAGTAAATGATAACAATATTCATTTTTAGGTGAACTAACCCTTTAAGAATTACATGTCTGATAATTAATTATGCTTGACATAAAATTTTGGGGGTTTAGTCCAGTTTTTTATTGGAGTATATCATGGACCACTTTTATTAAAAAGACACATCTACAGAACAATCTGTTAACATGCTTAAACTAACATTAATTAATGAATAAATTATATGCTGTTTTTCTTTCTTTCTTTCTTTCTCGGCAGTGCAGAAGCAGAATGAGTACATCAAACACATCTTTGCCACTAAGTCCTCAAAGAAGACTGTGAAGCGACACTGACATGGGCAACCCGGGGATGAAGGGAGGTGATCTTTCTCAGTAAATGGCAGGAAACAGCGCTACTCCATCCCCCGGAGGAGGGCCGGGCCGATTTTCGTTTTCCTTCTGTTCCGCCACTGGCTCAACAGCCAGCGATACCCACATTCTCAAAGAAACAGCAGTTTCCTCTTTCTCCATGTTATGTTGCTCGTGGATTGACAGTAAGTAACGCACCGCTTCCTCACTCTCACCCACGATGCCCTCTATCACCATTGGCCAAGAGACCTCGGTTCGAAGACACAATGCTTTCTCATGAGTCTCTAGCCAGTCCCTACAGGGACAGTGGGAATCCTGTCGGTATAACACCCTGTCTGCCAGGATGTTATGCCTTCTGGGCCAACCAGCAGGGTTCCCCACCGCTGCACCACCGTATGTCAATTGTGCCTTTGGTGCCACTCGCATGGAGCTTGGGGGCATGGCTAGCAATTAGACTCGGCTATGTGATTCAGGTCACCAGGCGAACCCCCAAGTTCAATGGCATTCTCAAGACTTCTGTGGCAGTCTGAGATGCCCCTGTCCTGTGCGAGGAGATTGCTGTCCTGCTGGCAAAGCACGCAATCAAGCCTGTCCCTCCAGCTGAGATGAAGCAGGGGTTCTACAGCCCTTATTTCATTGTGCCCAAGAAAAGCGGTGGCCTTCATCCAATCCTGGATCTGCGAGTCTTGAACCGGGCCCTTCACAAGCTTCCGTTCAAGATTCTGACACAGAAGCACATCCTCAGAAGCATCCAACCCCAGGGTTGGTTTGCAGCGGTCGACCTGAAGGACGCATACTTTCACATCTCGATTCTTCCACAACATGGACCGTTTCTACGGTTTGCGTTCAAGGGTTGGGCATATCAGTACGAGGTCCTCCCCTCCGGGCTTTCCCTGTCCCCCCGTATCTTTACCAAAGTCACGGAAGGCCCCCCTGCCCCATTAAGGGAAGTGGGCATCAGGATCGTTAAATCGACAACTGGCTCATCATGGCCCAGTCGTGAGAACAGCTGTGCGATCACAGGGATATGGTGCTCCGGCACCTCAGCCAGTTGGGGCTTCAGGTCAGCTGGGAAAAGAGCAAGCTCTCCCCCGTGCAGAGAACCTCTTTTCTCGGTATGGAGTTGGACTAAATTGACATGAAGGCCTTGCATTCCTCAGGCTGGAGTGCCCTTAAAACAAGTGTCTCAGCATGTTGTTGTTGTCCCAACAGATGCCTCCAGGACAGGCTGGAGCGCTACATGCAATGGGCAGGCAGCCTCAGGGTCCTGGACAGAGCCTCGACTGCTTTGGCACATCAACTGCCTGGAATTGTTGGCATTGCTTCTAGCCTTGCAGCAGTTCCAGCTGCTGCTTCAGGGCAAGCACATGTTCGTCCACACGGACAACACTGCGACTGTATCGTATATCAACCACCAGGGAGGTCTACGATCACGTCGCATGTCGCAACTCACCTGCCATTTCCTCCTCTGGAGATAGACATGGCTCAAGTTGCTGCGCGCCATCCACATTCTGGGGGAGCTCAACCGTGCAGCCGACTCACTCTCACGGCAGCTCACTCTCCCCAGAGAATGGTGACTCCATCTCCAGGTGGTCCAGCTGATATGGAGTCGATTCGGGGGAGCTCAGGTGGACCTGGTTGCTTCCCGCGAGTCCTCCCACTGCCCGTTGTACTATTACCTGATTGTTTACCCCCCTCGGCATGGATGCACTGGCACACAGCTGGCCCCGGGGTCTATGGAAGAATGCGTTTCCCCGAGTGAGCTTTCTCACACAGACACTGTGCAAGGTCAGGGAGAACGAAGAACAGGTCCTGCTGGTCGTGCCTTACAGGCCCACCCAGACCTGGTTTTCGTAACTCATGCTCCTCGCAACATCCCTCCCCGAATTATCCCCCTGAGGAAGGACCTTCTTTCTCAGGGGCAGGGCACCATATGGCACCTGCGTCCAGACCTCTGGAACCTCTCACTCAAGTCAGAGCTCCCTCTACCAGGCAAGTTTATGCCTTGGAGTGGAGTCTGTTCGCTGACTGGTGTTCTTCCCCCGAAGGTGCCCGATCAGAGTCATGCTTTTTTTTTCCTACAAGAGAGGTTGGAGCGTAGGCTGTCACCCTCCACCTTGAAAGTGTATGTCATCATGATGCAGTGGATGGTAAGTTCCTGGGAAATCACAACCTGATCATCAGGTTCCTGAAGGGTACTAGGCAGTTAAACCCTCCCAGGCCACCCCTTGTGCCCTCCTGGAATCTCTCTGTTGTCCTGGCGGGACTTCAGAGGGATCCCTTTGAACCACTTGAGTCAGTTGAGCTTAAGATCCTGTCTATCAAGACAGCGCTCCTGACCGTGCTCACCTCTATCAAGAGGGTTGTGGACCTGCAGGCATTTTCGGTGAGCGAAGCGATGCCTAGTGATCGGGCCGGCATACTCTCATGTTGTCCTGAGACCCCGGCCTGGATACGTGCCCAAGGTTCCCACTACTCCCTTCCGGGACCAAGTGGTGAGCCTACAAGCGATGCTCCCAGAGGAGATAGATCCAGCCTTGATGTTGCTGTGTCCCGTATGCGCCTTGTGCATTTACGTGAAACGCACCCGAGGTCTCATTTATAAAACGTGTGTATACACAGATTTGATCTTAAAGTGTGGGTACACTAAAATCCACGGCAACGTTCATATTTATAAAAACGGTCTTTGACGTGGAAAAGTACTTAATAATGCCACGTCAGGGTCTGAGCAGGCGTACGCACTTTAGTGTGTAGTATATTATTTGAACTAAGATGCAATAAGAATAAAAGCGGTGTACGCACAAGCACCGAATTCATCATAAACAACAGAGATGCAGTGTAAGAGATTAATTGTGCAGTGTAATCATACAGATTTTTTATTAACGGGAGTTTTTGTGAGATTAAACTTACCTTTTTAGTAATGTTGAGAGTTGTTGAGAGTACACAGTTTATTCCATGTTGTTTTTTATTCTACAAGACAACTGAAGTCTTGATTTAGCCTACTACTAATGCGTAAAATAGAAAAAAAAAAA